TATTATAAGCAATTTACGGTGCTGAAGATAGAGCAAAGAAGGGCGTAGATCTAGGCGTACTGCCAAAAAGTTCTTAAAAAGCTGAATTTTTCGTAGCTCTGCCCATTTTGAAAGTTTGTTTACACGACCGAAGAAGTTGACACATGCAAAAATCTTAGAGTCGTTCCAAAAGACAAGAGGAAGTCTAAGCCTGTTTCTGGACTACTAAAATATTCGAATTTTTAGATTTTACTCAACATAAGCATTTCATGGAACAAAAATACATATTGAGGTTTTGTAATATTATCAGTTATCTTAGTTTACAAGTGAGTATACGTACGTGCCCAGCCAAAAAAGGACGTTACAAAATGCCAAGTTACCTGTTCTAAGAAGAGGTCATGCTTCTCTTTAAGAAACACTTTCGTCTTGCCAAGCTGGAACTCTGATTCTGAACCAAGCACCTTCTTGCAGATTTGCTCAGCAGCACTACGAACTTCAACTTGATTGGGAGCTCCTTAAGGATATTCCATTAGAAGAATGCAGTAGATTTTCACCATGAAATCTCAAAGCTCACCAACTCCGTTGACCAGTACTCGATAGCGTCTGACAAATGGCTCAAAATCGTGACGAATAGGATAGCCGTTTCGTCGAATTTTGATAGTTTCCATCATTCCAGAGTACTGTAGCTGACGAAGCACAAGATTCCGATCCATCATCTAAATGGATGTTGAGCCAGGAGTGAGTGCTTAAATTGCAGCATTTCAACTTTAGGAAGATTGCCGAAGAAGAATGTAATGACTGTGATTAATGCCACCCTCCAGCTGGTTTTGGAGGTACAACATGAATGTAATGGAATAGGGTAAGCGACATCCGGAATATAACAAGGTCTGCGTTTTATTACGTAGGAATAAGAAATTTGAACATTCATGTCATCCTGTCATTCATCATTCATTTATTCAATCATTCATTCATTTATTCATTCGTTCTTTCATTCATTCTTTTTTCACTCAGTCGCTCAATAATCAATTTATCCATCCGTTTGTATGTTTAACCAATCATCCACTCATTCGTCTATTTATTATTGACACACTCATTCATCTATACATTCAC